AATGGCCTCCAACCTCATAGCGATGGCCTCCAACTTAATAGCAATGGCCTGGCCTCCAACCTAATAGCGAGGGCCTCCAACCTCCTAGCTATGGCCTCCAACTTGATGGGTTTCTCCAGGGAGGAAAAGCCCTGTGAATGTGATGGAGAGGCTGACCTGAGAATGAACGTAAAGCGGTCAGATCAGCCGTTGATCAAAAGGGTGACCCCATGAGGAGTTCTCAAAGCTAAAGGTCCATCCCAAGTCTCTCTTGGCGCAAAAAGGGGGCGCAGGTGCATTGTTTGATGTCAGTTTTGGTTCGCTGCTTGGATGCTTTGAAGCAATTTTAAGCCACGTACTGCGGAGTCGCAGCTGCTTGGAGGCTCATTCACCAATCTGGTGGAACTCCAATGACTATGGGATGATGAGCGATACACTCAAACCATCTCAAACCAGATGTGGGACATCCAAATCATGCTAGGTTGATGTTGTTTGATGTTGCTTGTGCTTTGGGATAGTCCAAACATTGGAGATGCTCCATCTTGTGATCATTCACCCACCCTTGACGAAGTCTTCATGATCGAAGCCAGCCGTTTCCTCAATGAGCAGAGGTTTGTGTTTGGGTCCTAGGCAGAAGGTCCTCGCACCACGCATGTGTTCGGGTTGCAGGAGTTCTTAAGCTCGATCTGCGAAGAGAGTTGGCATCTTGAGGATCAGCAGGCGCCGTCCTGGGGACCCGTTGAACGTCGAACATCAAGGGCCGACCAGAATAGATGGTCAAGTGGGAAGCGGTTGTGGCACTTGAAGCCCCTGGTTGCTTCTTTTTTTGGGGGGCGCAAGTTGCAACAAAAATTGGTTTACTGGTTTACTGGCCTGTTTTGTTTCGCTCGCAGGTCCGTCAGGTTGCAATGAAGAACCGAAATGCGGACATTGCGAGCGAGCAAAAAGAGCTGCTTTGACTGCTGATGGGTACCCGGTGTGAACAAATGCTCCTAGTAGCGATGCCCTTGTTACTAGTAGCTTCTTCCTAGTTAGGTCTAGTAGTAATGCCAGGAGCTATCAGTAGCTTCTTGCTACTACTAGAAATGCCAGGCCTGCTGATGGACACTGGAATATCAAGAGCACTGTGTTTGAGGATTGAGGGTCCCTGACCCCAGCGCACAAGTCACTCTAGATCCGTGAAGAAACTACGATGGTGGCACCACTGTTTCATTCGGGCGCGCCCAAATACATGCACAAATCGTTTGGTCGCAACCAGGTTCAGTCAGCAGGCTTGAAAGGTTTCATGGCGAAGATGGGGTTAAGCAGCTTAAGCATGTTGATAAATAATAGGGGGTAGCTTAAAAAAGTATTCCAGGGGTCCATTTTTGGAATAATATTTTAGCTAGGTAGTGGTTCAAGGTACTACCTGGGAATAATTTTTGGAATAATATTCCAAGATGTACACGCATGTAGGCGTATTGCCTCTCCGAGGGTATTTAGGGTTTCACACCGAATGATTTGAGCGGCGTTGCGACAGGGATGAAACAAGTTGAGTGTTTGCAAAGCACAACTCTTGTCTATGACATGGTTTTGCATCCAGATGTTTAGAAATTATTCCTGAATGTGAATGACATACCATAATAATTTCCAGCATCAATGTGACTAGGGGTCAGAATAATTCTAAAATTATTCCAGGGGGGCCTTGAGAGGGGGTCCCCTCAAACCACGGCCCATGATAAATAGTTAAGCTATGTTAAGCTCAAGCTGGAGATGCGTGCGGGCCTTGCCAGAGAGGAACATGAGTCATCATGAGTAGACCTCCTCCCTATCCTCGTTGTGAGACAAAAATCCCTCGTTCCCCCACTGACGACGAACAAAGTATGAAGAAGTCATCACCATGTCCTTCATTGCCCTGTGAATCGTGGAACAACGACACAACTGAACCAACGGTGCAGTCGTCCGCCCGAGACGTCACAATTTCCGAATGAAGCCATGGAGCCTGTTTTTCGGGCGCCGCTGGCGGCTTCGTCATGACGGAAGGCTGTTGCGGGGGTGTTGTGAAATTGGAACTACTTTCAACATCTAAGTCAAGTCTGTATATATTACTGTAACATCAAATATTATAGATATACATTTTTTGTTTTTTTTTCTTCAACTTCCTTCATCATCCTTTGCGAACGGAAAAAAACACAGTCCATGGCCATTTCGGCACGTTTAGTTTGGAAGTTTCAAACTTTCTCAGAGGTCTTCATGGATGGAGTAGTCATCATTGTGGCCTGTCCAAGCCGACTGCAACTGCCTGCTGAACCACGCCCTCCACGCCATTGATCAATGTATTTCCAACAAAATGGCCCTCCTGCGGCTTTGGTTCTTTTTCGGGTCCCTGTAGGGCTTTTGAATCGACATCCCCCAACATCGCTCGTTCCATCTCATCCCTCAGCGCACTCCCCTTCGTGATTCGTGCTCGGTCGCTTCCGCTTTCCTCACCTTCCCTGCCGAAGAAAGCGAAGTCGACGGTTCCGAGTTCGACGTTCGAACAGGTCGCACCCCCAACAGGTCGCAGCGAGCTCCGGGTCTTGGAGCTCTTCGCTGGGCTGGGCGGCATGCGCTGCGCGCTGGCGCAGGCGAAGCTTCCGGTGGAGGCGCGGCGGCGCGGCGGAACGCACGGAATGCCACCAAGGGTGGGCGGGGGGATTTGGGGTCAGAGGAGCGGAATGAGGTTTGGGGTTCAGTCTCTGACTTCGCAGAATCTCTCAAAGATCCTATGCAGTATAATGGGTGCAGTGTATTGATGTATGTTTGGTTAAGATGAAAGACATTGAAAGACCTACCAGACCACGGGGGCATGTGTGTTTATCCTCTCTCGGGGAAAATTTTCGGGCGCGGACCTTTCATCCATGTTCTGTTTGAATTGATCCATATAATTACTCTGGGATGATTCCTGGTGACACCAGTACGCCATTTGGGTTCCAAGTAGGTAGAGTCATTCTTCGAGGCCAAGCAAGGCATGTTTTGTTGAATCATAGGTCGACAGTACTTTTCCGATTTCAACGCAGCATATGCAGTCCCAATGCTTGCATTCGCAAGTGGTTGTGTTCTTCTCATTGATATCTTAGACTCCAATGTCTACAAGCCTACGACTATTGATCCTGAGGTTAAAATCGTTGCAGCCATCGACGTCTCCGAACTCTGCGAGAAGGTCGGACATGCTTGGAGTGTCGTAACACTACTCATGTTTGCCACCCATCCAGAGGGTCTCGCTCCGAGATCGATGCAACTGTTGATGGATGCCAACATGCTGTGGTGTGAGAGAACGCTTCCTTATCTTCCGCTGCAGTCCCCGAGTTGGCAGAGCAACTGGCTCATTTTCTTGGCTGAACGTATTGAAGCAAAATTATCGTCATAGTTTAACTAGGGTGTTTCACACAGTTAGTGTCTTTTGATGTCTTTTGTGTTTTCATCGAAAAACGATAGGGGATGCACTAAAACGATACCTCTAAGACTTGTATTGGAAGATCCTGAGAGAGTTGTCAGAGCTTGGAGCCGTTTTGGTCTACACAGTGGGGGTCTACTCGGCTTGACCTTGATCATGGGAAGAGCTTGGGAAAGAGTGCGGATCCGTTTTTGCTTCCATGTATGGGCGATTTGAACGATACCCCAACAATGCCTCAAAAGGTACGTTTTCTCAGCCAAATGACAAGATCCCCGCACGTAATTACACCTGGCCTGCTGCGGCTTGCTGCGGCTGCTTTTGCTGGCGCTGGCTGGCTGCTTTTGCTGCTGCTGGCTGCCTGCTGCTGCTTGCTTCTGCTTGCTGCTTTGCTGCTGCTGGCCGGTGTTCCTGCTGCTGGCTTGCTGCCCCTCTTGGTGTATTAGTGCTGCTGGTCTACTGGTGGTCTGCTGCTGCTACCCACTCGTGGGTTCAAATGGTTTCAGGATCAAAGCTCCTGCTATATCCTGCTTGTGTCCACCTGTCCACATTGCAAATACCACTCTGACTATATTTATGTCATGTCCAAAGTGCCGAAACCCGAGAAACGATAGCGGACGCCCTAATTTACCTATGAATGCAGCCTCAACCGGTAATTTTGACCCTGATTCATTTGAAGTTGGGAGGTCCCAGGGCATGCTTTCCTCCTATCCACAAAAATATCAAGAATGAACCACCTCTGTTCATAGAAATTTTAGTAATCCTCATGATGCATCATGATACAGGCATTTGTCCAGAGAGAGAGAGAGAGATAGGATGAGATAGGGAGAGCGAGAGAGTGAGAGAGAGAGGGAACATTTCACTGCTAGACTCTAGACATTGTTTTGTTAAGCGTTGCATCGTGTTGCCTCGTGTTGCCTTTAAAGCTGGCCTGCTTTGGGCTCTCGGTCAAATCATTGGCATGTCTTTCGGATCGGATTCCGGTCTTGGTCACTTGGTCGTGGTCGTCATTCCAGTTCCCTGTGTTTGGTGGCCAGACCAAGCGGGTTTCAAAAGAGCATTTGGGCACTTTCCCCTCAGAAAGGAAAACTTTATTATATATGTCATAGAATTGGATTGCATTTAGGGAGTTGAGAGAGATGCCAGTCACTGCTAGTCGTTTGTTTGCAAGAGAAGAACCTGAACAGTCTGGGAGTCTGGCTAGCAGAAGAAACGGGAAAAAATATGAGACAGAGTTTGCCTATGTCAAAGACTATGCACAAAATCAAGACTTGCCTGTACCGAGTGCTGTTTCACGAGATCAAGGCCGTTCTCTCCGACATGCATTTGTGAGGCCTACTGCCACAATTTTGGCCACGCCGAGTGGAAGAAGAAGACCATTGATTCTTGGCGATCTCGAGGTTACAAAGACGCACTCGGTGTGTCCTGCAGAAAAGGTGCCCCAAGAGTTCAATGTTTTAGGGACGCAGAAGACCCCTCTGGTAGAAGATATCATGGACCCATACAGAGTGCACAGATCTCTCCTTGGACCTGCTTCAGTTCCTTCAAGATCACCTAAAGAATGGTCCGGGAACTTCGCCATCCCCTGATCTTCTGCAGCATGCACAGTGTTGGGACCAAAATTTGTTGGGACCCTAATGGGTCAAGGGAAATTCACTATGAAGTTACTACGTAGTCTTTTCTACTTGGGCTGCTTCGTCGGATCCTTTTGCGGGAAAAGCAACTCGCGATTTGGTTCGGAGCGCTTGAGGAATGCTTGAAGCTGCAAGAGGTGGATGTAACTCAGCAGCAGTTTCCTCACTGAGGCAGCTGAAAGGAAGAAAGTAATATACTTTGAACAGGAACGAATGGAAAAACATATGCGAGTTTCTAGAGAGTTGTGAGGGGCTCAAGACTCAAGACATGCCAGGTCAAGCGAGGTTTCTTGTACATATTCCTGGATTCAGCTGCCCAAGTCCTGGATTCAGCTGCCCAAGGCCTTGGCAGCTGATCTTTGGCTGATGAGCCCACCTTGTCAACCCTTCACCAGGGCTGGGAAGAGGCCACACTTTGGGTTCAGTGGGGTCTTCATTTCATATCAGTTGACTGGTCTTTCAAATATTTGCCTTCTCAGCTGGCTTATGATATTTTCCCGCATTGTCCTCTCTCATTGCAAGTCCGTTTTTGCTTCCTGTAGATTCAAGTGCCCCAAGTTCGACGAATCACTTGGAGACTGGTGCAGCTTGGGTTTAAATCCCTTAGGCCTTGAAGCGAAGGGCGCCGAAAAGAGAGCGCCGCAAGACAACAATATTATTTGTTCCGTTCAGGAAAGATCATGAGGATGACCGGTCCAGCTCTTAGTTGGGCCACCGGAGGCCGAGCGACCTTGTCGTACCTGATATGGGAAGTATTGGAATGTCCCTGGAGAAAGATGGGAGAAGGCCAGAAACGTCGAAGAAGAGCTCAAAACATTGTGTTCTGAAGCATAGGGTACATAACTGGTGGCGACACGTCAATTGATTGAGCTGTTCTTGTGTTTTGATATCAAGATGCGTTCTATTTTGACATTGTCTTACCCAGAACTAGTTTAAAAAAGAAAGAACTCCAAGGGTGCAGCAGAAGACATTTGCAGGGTGTCAATCTTTGTAACTTATCTGCAGTTCTTGTATGTTCTTGTGCATGTTTGGCAAACTCGGCACACACCGGATGATGCCCTATAGGACCTATAGGATGCAGAGTCAGAAACGAGTCATCCCTAGCCCATCGCTACTGGAGGCCATGACTTTCAGTCCACCCACCGTCCCAGGTCGCGAGGGCTGCTCCATCTGATCAGCCTCCTGCCTTTGAAGCTCAGACCAAGCCTGACCAAGCCTGACCGTCAACGAAGGCTTCGGACGTTCCAAGTTGCACCCACCCTTTTTGTTCCACCTAGAATCCCACACCGGGTCTCATCTGGGACGCTGTAGATATGTGCCATGCAGCGATGCATTGGTTCACACTGCGAAGCCTTTCAATGCCTTTGATTGTTTTTGAAGAAACTTGAAAGGTGGTGTGTATTGACCGCCCCACACCTGCCACAAGAATTGGACTTATTGTTACATATTGGTACAGTAATTAATTCGATCCGTAGCTGACCCAACAATAACAAGATCTAACAAGATCTCTAACATTTTGTTTGTTTGAAGTATTCCAGGGACCAGGTGGTCGACGCGTTTCTTCTGGGAGAGATTTGGGATGTGCATCCCATGCTGGACCGTTCAAGACCCTTTCACAGGGCCCTTTCAGAGGACCCCATGCGGGACCTTGTGGTGCTGAGAATCCCGCACCAAAACATGCCAAGCTTAGCTTTTTCATCATGTCTGATGTGCGTTTGCATTTCTGCGGAGAACAGCCAGTGGTCATTTTATCGATCTCCGCTTCCGCGATTTGAGGGTGGGGGACAACCCTTCCGCACCAATCTTCGACACCAAGATGTCCTCCTAAAGGATTACGTCACTCCCCATTCTTGAAGGGGCGAGTCCACATGGCTCCTATTTCGGCGATGTGTCGCTGCAGGGGCGACCTGTTTGCTTGGAGGAGGAGGTTACCTCGCTCGATTTGAGGAATTCACAGTTGATGCAGGGAAGGCTTCTGCTGTTTCACCCTACCAGAGAAGGGGAACGAGTAACGAGACAGGAACGCGATTTGTTGAGAAAAAAAACAATAACTACATATAAAATTGTGCAGTGCTTCAGTCAGGAAACTCCATGGTCACTGAGTCACTGGGGACCAAAAACCTTGTTTGTCGATGTTTGTTCTCGCGCCGAGGATGGAGAATCCTCCACGGGCCATTCTTTTGGAGAATGTTGTTGGCTTTGTCGCTTGGTTTGCAACCGGAGCAGGTGCTTATCATGTGCTTCTCAGACGTTTGTCCATGTTAAAAGATGGAAGCTGAGGTACTCTCAAAGCTATTTTGAAGGTGTTTCACAGCTTCTTTTGAAGGTCCCGTTGATTTTGTGGACTTGCTCAAAATTATGTAGAACGATGAGGGACTGACAACCAACTATAACTCTCTAGTAACCTACGTTTGTGACATGCCCGAATTCCAAGTATATTGGAGACAGGCTTACCGCAGGAAACCACGTTATTGTGTGACCTTAATTGAATTCTTCGCTATGGTGGAGAGGTGTGGCCGAGTGCGAGCCGTGCGAGCATGAAATAGCACTGGAAGGGTCGAAGAACAGAATTGCCACGGGGATGGGACTTGAAACTTCCCTGGACTGATCGAGCGTTGCAGTGGCAAAGAACAACACTGCAGGGAGTTGTAAAGATTCGGTTCTCGAAATCGCAGGTAGCTTTTTGGGTCGTCTTGGTGAGCCAAAGCCTAGCCGGAACATCCAAACCCTGCAAAGTTGATAGGACACACGCTAAATCGCCCAGAGCGCAAGGACCCAGCCTGGAACAATTGTTTGACCAATGCTCATATATTAGTGGTTCTGGTGGGTCTTGCGTAGTGCTTGGTCCGTTCATCTTCCCGATTTCGGGGGGGGAAACGGGAGACGGTCCTCATGGTCCGGTCCGTCCGGGACGTAAGGAACGCTCCGAGTGCCGCCAGCGGCTCCTGGACACCTTGGCGCAGTTGGAGCATTGGGAGCTGGCGGAGTTTGCGTTGGATCCGGAAGAGTTTGGATTCACGGCGGCATGTTTCACGGCATTTATTTTTTGGAGGTGGGGGACGGGGGGGAGGAGATCTCTAAAGCTGGATAGCCTTGGATAGCTATATATTACATATTATATGGTATTTGGCTTAGGGTGATTCTTGTTTTGCCTATGCGTAAATCCCCTTTGCGTTAGTCCCTATGTTGATTTTTGTTCTCGGTTCCTTAAGCAAAGCCAATGATATGCTGCTCAGAAAAGACGTGTGTTCCAACTAGAGAGGGGGGTGCAAAACTGCGAACAACAGGAGCTCAAAGCTCATAGAGCTCAATTGCATGTGAGGGTCCTAGTAGCGTCCTTGCTCCTTGTAGTAAGGCCAGGAGCCCCTAGTAGCGTCCTTTGCTCATAGAGCTCAATTGCATGTGAGGGTCTCAATTGTTGCAGCTCCATGGTTTGATGCCTTTGGCTTGATGTGGAAAACACATATCGGGCCGTTGCGTGTTCTTAGAGATAGGCAGCGAGCGTAGGCCACAGAGAACTTGTATATAAGTAGTATGTATGATTCCTCAGACTAGGCGGCACCGTTGATTAGCCGAGCTGCGGTGTTTATGGTCTTAAAATGGTATCATCTTTTGTCATTCATGCACTTTCCGGAATTGAAGTCCACAGAGTGTTGACCCGCAGACCCGTATCCTCGATTCAACCACGGTAGGAACGAAGCAAGCTGATGAAATATAGGTTTATAGACGTATATGTCAAATGTTTTGCCAGACCCATGGTGCCTCCTTGTGTTATTGTCTGTGAATCTGATGTATATCAACAAAAAAGTGTTTAGGATGTTGACCCAGATCCTCGTGTGAGGATCCACCCATCTGCAGCCGATCCATCAGGACTTCCCAACCGTCGCCCACGCTACTATGGCCTCTTTCGTGCCAGCGAAGGGGCTCCGGGCCTAGGGCGCTTGCAAGTGAGTTTGCAAGACGGAGGTGTGGACGCGGGGAAATTCGAGGGTCTGAGCTTGTCTTCCTGGAGCCCCTAGTAGCTTCTTGTTACTAGTAGTAAGGAGAGGAGCCCCTAGTAGCGTCCTTGCTCCTAGTAGCGATGCCAGGAGCCCCTAGTAGCTTCTTGTTGGGTGAAGTCAAAATCTGTCCGCTGGGACTGAAGGACCTTGATTGCCGAAGGGACAGGATATAATTTTGGTTGGATCTGTGCTGCATCTCAGAGAACTCGCAAGCACATGTCAACAAGGAACCTCTAGAGAAATGGTTGTAATTAGGTCTTATTATCAATGCTTCCATGGTATGATGTTGTTGAAAGTGTGTCAAATGGTCCAGCGCCGTGCGGATCGCACGGAGGATGCTTTTGGCGGCCAGTGGCCACTGCCTTGGAGGCGCATCTGGTTGACGCATCACGCACCTGCCGGCTGTTACGGCTGGACCGGCCGCCGCGAGAATCGGCGTTTCGAAGCTGCGAAATCACGTCCATGAAGCTTCCGGTCACTCACCTGTCGAAAAAGAACCCTTGCTTCCTGGTCTAGACCAAGGCTGTTCCACAGTGACCTGCAACAGGCAGGTCACTTCTTCACATCTCAAAGAGCTGTTTATGGGAGATCTGATGCGTGCGTAGATTGGGTCGAATGCAGCATGGAATGTGCTCTCCCGTAGCTTTTGTTCATGCTTCATGTTCGAAATCCTACACCCATGCACCTTGCAAAAACAAACATTCATCATGAATCATGATGCAAGGCACAAATATTATCCCGCCATTTCGTTCCCAACAGCCACATTAGGCATGTTGTTCCTCTGCCTGCCTGCATCCTACCATGTCCCACTACTGCTTTGGGAAGTGCATAGCACTCCCCGTCTTCAGGCCGAAGCCCTCCTGCAAGGACGTGCTGGGCCCCTGACAGAGGTAACAGTCTTGGGAGACTTCCTTCAGGAGCCCTGTGCCCTCATATGCTGATCCTCAAGCGTCCGAAGGCATTAAGCCATTCATTAAGCTTTTGGAACCTCAGTCCGTGGTTGCAGGTTGAGGTCGTTTGGAGGTTTTGGTGGAATTGGAGATGTTTCTCTCCCACCCAAAACTGCACTGCTTGTGAAGGCCTTGGACTATTGACACAAGTACTCTTGATTGATGACTAAGTCAAACGATAACAAAAGCGAATTGGCAGGCCTGGTAGGGGTGGTATTTTGAGTCCCGCAGGATGCGGCCAGCGTGGCCATGGAGGAAGAAGTGATGGGATGCTCCATCGAAGTGCCACAAGAGGTGATGCGAACACGCCAGCAGAAGGAGGGACCAGAGACTTCAAGAATGACCGAGAGAGTTGCACCCTCTGGCCTGCTGGGATGGGGAAAATAGAGCAGACGTAAGTTCAAACATCAAACAAGAATCGTGAATTGTTTTCCTCAATGGCTGGCTGAAGGCCGGAAGCAGGTCTTGAGTGGTCCCAAGATCTTTGGATCAAACATGATCAAACACGAGTTATAAGTTTTGTTGTGATGCGTCTAATCCATGACCAAACATCGAGTATTGAACCCCCAATCAGATACTGGGGGTTCTTTTCGCCGGTGCTGATTGGGGGTGAAAACGGTTCTCCAACGTGAGACCAACGTGTTGAGACACCGATGCAATGCAACTGGCCATGCTCACCGTTCCACCAATGAAAAAGACATCATTAACTCCGTTAAACCACAATGAGCAGATATGTTTCTTTACATGGTTATTCTGGTTTGTGCGAAGCACTTGGAAATAGTATTTTATACAATAAGTTGGTTTCTTTTGCTGCACTACGACTACCCCACTACACGGATATCTAAAGACCAAGCATCATGAATTCCAGGTTAGCGTGTCCACCCACTTGAGATGTCGTTCGCAAAGGAGCAGCGCTATGACATCCACCTGCGCTCGGACCGTACCAGCGCCTGTTTGACCAAAGCCAATGGGCGGCTCCCCTTTGGCACCTTTGACAGCAGTGGAAGCCGGCCTTTGATTTGGGCACAGAAGATGTTTGTCAATGCCGGAGTGGACCCAAGAAACGCAAGAAAGCTTTAGCTGGTCAGTTTTGCATGGCAAAATTGGGTATACCAAAAGATGCTTTCGCACCTTTCCACCTTTCAATCCAGATTTGTTTGAAATGTCACAAATGTCACCATTCTTTTGTGGCGCCCCCCAGACGGTGAATGTATGAGGTGCCGAAGGATTTCAAGGTACAAGACATATCAAGATACCAAGGTCATTCCCCACTTGTGCTGCAGAATGAGGAGGACTGACTCCTCAGCTTCAACAGACAAATCACCAATGGATGTGTTTTGGTTTGATTCAGAGCTGCAGGTCTGGTGTTTTTCGCCAACCTGCATCTTCCAACTATTGGAAGCTCCCATCAGGTCGTAGGTGGATCTACACACTGGAAGCTTGCATCAGGTAGTAGGTGGATCTACAGTACACTTGGCACATGAGCAGCTTATGATCAACAGCCTGTCATTTGTAGACTCTATAATAGCTGGTAAAGTCAAGATTGGCCATCAAGCTTTGATCATCCAACCTGACCCCCAAATCATCCCAATCGATCCATACATTGTCGCTCGCATGACAGCCTGATAAGAAATGGCAAGGCAAATCTTCAGCTCTCACATTCCACCAAATCCTGCGAGGCAGATCAAATCGATCCAGACATCCCTGACATCTCCCTAGAAATTCTGGACATCCTGGGGCACCCGCCCCACTGAGTCCCCGAGATTCTTTTTGGCCTGCCTCGGTGTCCTCGCCTGCCGGTGTCCGCGTGTCTGCCCGCTGGTCGCAGGAGGAGTGTGGCCTTCAACAGCGTCCCAAACTCTCTGCACAGGGCGACGGTGCCGGCAGCGCCACCGACCATGTCTGGGAGGATGGACTCAGAGTGCGCAGCCTGGTGGAATAGGATGGACAATGGAGCCGTTGCGCAAGAGGTGCAAAGATCAAGTGGATAAAGTCTTGACTCTTGAGTCTTGATTTTCTCTTGTCCTTTTCGTGAATGAGCAAACCTGTCGACTGGGTGTCATTGCTTTTTGGACCGACTGCCTTCAATGTTGGTCGTGCAGGAAGGGTCCTAAGGGCGCACTGGCAAATGAGCCGAGGATATCTATCGCCAGTGGAGCAATTGAGATTGCTGGGCTTTCCAGCGACCTGGATTCTCTTCAGACACCCTGTGTAGGGAATAGATATATAGTTCAACGCTAACTCACTAACGATATACTGACAATTTATTCAGAACTCTCAGAAGGATTTGCCTACCCTAAACACAGATGAAAAGCGTTTTCCAGTGATTGATTGCAAGATTGTTGTTCTTCTTTGGGGTGGTGTTCATTGTGTCCCGCCCCTAGCAATGCACCCACAGCAGGACGGTCCTTTGGTCGCCCCTTGCGGGTCGGTACGCTCCTTCGAGCCTAGGAGAGCTACGTGTTTCCAGCCGCGTTGAGCTTCAAGGACTGCCAACCGCTGCGGTCCGATCGGCCCCCTGTCCGGTGTTTTCTGTGTTCGGCGATCGCGGTGGTGAAGCACCTATAGGGTGGGAGTAACATGAGGAAAATGAGTGGTGACCTGAGTTGACGTGGGTTCTGAGTATGTCATACTAAGACCATGACGACTCTTCTACGTTGGCCGCCACCAGAACCAGGTTCTCAGCCAGTCGGCTGTGAGGACCGATGTTCCTTGATCGGCAACTCCTTGAACTGCAGCCTGGCCAGTCGGTGTGGGCTTCGGGACCGTCGGAGAACGCCAGGCCGGTTTGGTCACTAGGTCGTTGGTCGCTAGGTCAACCGAGAAAACATCCGGTCCTACGATCGCACCATTTGGATCCATTTGGCTATTTCATGCTAGTTCACTGTGTTCGGGCAGGCATGGTTCTGCGAAGCAACGAATAAGAGTCAAAGGGTTTTTGTGCAGGTTTGTATGGCTTGGTTGTGTCTCCATCCATTGGAACGGCAAGCAATACCTGCTTCGGATAGCTTCCGTGTGATATTGATGTCCTGACAACCCAAGCTCCATCGTAGACCACGGTCGGCGAATTAGCTAGAGTTTTTGTGCGTGCAAGTCTTGACCTCTTCAAAACGAAGGCTGGTGCGCACATGCGCTACACATGCGCTACCTGAAAGAGGATCTTAGAAAGTGGACATGAAGGTGAGTCTCCAAACCTCAGACGCATAGATTCCCGTCTTACTCTCTGTGAGACTGTGAGACGAAAAAAGAGAGCACCACCTAATTGTACACACCCTTTCGGAATCAAACGGACTAGCAGGTTTTTGGTTCAACCTTTCAAAGTTAGATGTTTCCTGTCCCAAACAGTCCCCAACCCGCACGCTCGTGCATGGAAAACACACAACAAAGATTGGCCTCCCAATCTTCCCAAAAATCCGATACAGAATTCGGCTCACAGAGCCTAGGTCGCATTGTGGCTTCGTTGATCCCGTTCCTCTTTACCGGTCCGACAGACTTGGATCAGGAGGAGATCGGGAGATCGGGACCGATCGGTCCGTACGGGGTGCCAAGAGCGGCACATCGAACATGGGCGAGTCTGCCGCGAAACCATACCGAACACAAATAGTAGCGGTGACTGAGTCCGAAAATGACCGAAAGCCCACGAAGCACCACACCTGGGACTTGAGGTGCGACACTCTTGTTGCGGACACCCTTGGTGACTGTAGGAGATTCTTGCTGGACACACTCTTTGCGCGGACACCTTTGGAGGATACTGTTTTCAACATGAGCATGTTTTATGAGACGTCCTCCAAAGTGACCCGTCAAGCCTTCAAAACGAGCATTTCGTGCAAGCCGCCCTCCAAAAGTGAAGCGGGGTGAAGTCTCATCAGAGCGAACACATCACGCAGTTTCACAATCCGAACTGCATCCCAGCACCACACAGTATTGCGCCTGCCACGAAGTGAGTACGCCATACCTTGACACGTCTAGCGAAATTGGTACACACCACAAGTGTGGAATGATCTCGACCCCTTGTTGCTTCACGGGGATCCCGCCGCATTTTTAACCTGAGACCTGTCACGGAAGAGATCCAGCTTCCAGGCAAGCATTTCAAGAGCGACACTCAACACCTCCAAAAGACCACTCTAAGATACCCTGAGAACGCCAATCCCAGACCTCACACAAACGCTGCACTTGCGCCCCTGAAGTCAGTCTTTGCACTTGCATGGATATATATATATATATATAGGTGAGACACAGATTTGCAGAAGGGTTTTCTTGAAGTGTTTATGGCCGCCACCCTCGCCGCTCAAGACAAAAACCCGGGCGGCGCGCGGTCGTGGTCCATGGGCTATCCCCTAGGCTATCGACTGGCCGTGGTTTGTCAGGTAGTCCTAGTGGGATTGGTTGGTGTTGACCTTTACTACACCCAGAGGCTGCAGGAAGACATCTCTCTGGTGCGGTTGCAGGTGAGGGCATTGGACACTTTGGCCGAGCGATCCCGTGACCCTGAGGACGAGCCTCCCGCTTCAGGTGGACAACCTTGGACTTCGCGGCGAAAGCCGGAGGCAGAAGCCAAGGTGCTGGTGGGAGGTTTTGAACAGGGACAGTTGAGTTTGAGTCAGTTGTTTGCATTGCTGTTGACTTTACTGGCTGGTCTCATTGTTGTTGGTTGGTGTGTGTGTGGGGGCGGCAGGGCCCAAAAGCATTGACAGAAGGAGGTGCTTCTCCGTTGCAAAGGCGTGATTTGGCACAGAGGCAGCTGGCAGGGACCCCGGCTTTGGCACGAACGCCTCGTGCTAAGTCATGTGGCCGGTGAGATCTACATCATAGCGACACCAGACCGTGATGTCTATGCCATGCTGAGGAGTTGGGCCTGTTAAACCCCGACGTACGAACCCTCCGTGTGAAACCTGCTGCAGGTATTCTGCCTGGAGATGTGAACGCGGCCGAGGTCTATCCCCTTCCGGCTTGGACTGCAAACGACCTGCACAATCTCAGGGAGGAGGGCCGACGAGTAGCCGATGAAGAGAGACGGGCTATGGGCGGTGGAGGCGGTGCCTTGGCAGCCGCCGGTGCAGCTGTTGCGCCGGCAGTTGTTGGTGGGGCCCCTGTGAGCACCAAGATTGACCCCGTTGACGGCTATGAGGCTGGAACCCTGGAAGTGCTGGCTGCAGAGACGATAGGATCCCACCAATTTGGACAAGAAGTCACTGGTGTACCCAACCCCCTGGCCAAGGACAGCAAGATTGTTCATGTTGGGGCGGATGGCATCGGCATTTTTGTTCAGTGTGTTGATGGACAAGACTATTTTAGTTTTTTGCAGAAGCCGGCCAAGTCAGATCCAAGGGTGCTTCCAGTTGAGTTGAACCCCATTGGACAACCAGAGAGGACCTTGAAGGAGGTTGCATCCATGGGCTTTAAGACAAAGGTGAGGTGGGAGTTGGCGGGTCCCCGCGCTAGCAAGTGGTGCGTCAACTACCTGGCCATCGAGAACCTGGGTTTCGAAGGCCACCATGAAAGACTACGACAAGTCACAAGGGCTGATGCTAGCAGCTGGGGAATCCAGGAACATTTCCAGGTCAGCATGGCCCTTCGCCAGGCCCTTCTCGCGGACCAGCTCGACTCCTACAATTTGTTGAGCATTGAGATACAATATGATACAATTCACGCGTCTCCAAACCATCGAATACTCCTACAGTGAAAAGGCAAAGGATTTGGAGGCAAAGGCCGTAGGAGGGCGGCTGAGTCTAGAAGAGCAGACCACGTTTGGGGGCATCACACGACAATACAGTACATTGATGATTTGTCCCCAGCTGTTGGACCACGTCAAGACCGAGACCGAGAAGGAGGCAAACCTGGCAAAGAACCTGTGCAAGGCTCGGGAAGAGCGAGAGGCAGCTCGCAAAGGGGCCAAGAAAGGGGGCGACAAGTCAGAGCACCCTTGAAGTATCAGGTGTGGCAGCCGTCAGGCCTTGTGGTTGCTGCAACACCTTCAGAGGCCGTGCAAGCTAGAGGAGTGGATAGAGACATTTTTCCACTGCAGTGTTTTGAATTCAAGACCACCCTTGGGACTTTTCTCGCGAAAATCTCAGCAGAGGATTGGCCGGAGGAGGCATTTTGAGCAAGAGGTTGACCACACAGTGGATGCCCTCAACACTATGTATGGTAAGCCTGGGGGACCTCACAAGAGGTATGGTGGGTCGAACAATGGGGCCATCATTTCCGGCCAGGCTCATTTTTTTTTGAATTTGTTGAAGATGCACGCAAGAGAGTAGGGGCTCCACCTCTGCTTTCTGGCCCAGAGGCCCTTGAGGAGCTTCGGGTTGCTGAGGGGTACGATGACTTGCCGACTTCGTGCCCCCTTGGATCCTTCAATCCTGACCTTGTCTCACTACCATCTGAGGGTATTAATCCCGTGCCTTTGGAGAGCTTGCGGGGTGAGGGCGGGCAACAAGAGGTGGAGGATTTCACCATTCACCAGACGCTGGACATAGCAGAAGCTCGCGAGCGTTTAGGCCAATGCGGCCTGAACAGATGCTATGAAGACCCGCAATTCAAAGATTGGAGCCGGCAGTGGAGACAGTTGGCCTTTTCTTTGTGAAGAAGAAAGGTGGCAAGCTGCGGATGATCCTGGACTGTAGACGGAGTAACTGCCATTTCACAACACCCAAGGACATCAAGCTGGCCACTGGTGAGAGCATGAGTCGCATGGAGTTGAGGCCGCAGGGCCAGTTGTACATTGCCAGCGCTGACCTTCAGAATGCTTTTTACACGATGGCCATGCCAAGTGCACTTCAAAAGTTTTTTGGGCTTCGCAAAGTGCAAGCTGGAGAGCTGGGGGTGTCTGGAATTGCTGGCTCAGAGGTACAACCCGCCTCATGGGTTTACCCTCGCATTGCAGTCTCACGCTATGTGGTGGTGCCAGAGGATAAGTGAGCGAATCTGCGAGAGGTCCGGGCTGCTTCCTTCAGAGAGGCTGAGAGACGGTCAGCCTCCCCGTCAGGGGACCTTTTTCCATGTCCAGTATGTCGACAATTTACACATTTTTGGCAACGACAAAGAGGAGGTTGGAAGCAAGGTTTTGGAAAGCAGTCAAAGTATTGCGGGCAGCCGGCCTGACAGTACATGAAATAGAAATGGCAGATGGGTCCAGCAAGGTTCTTGGTTGGGAGATCGAGGACGGTGGTTTCTTGGGTCCAGCGCTGAGCCGTTTGTGGCGTTGCAGGCTGGGCATACGAGAGCTGCTGCGACGGGGCCGTGCGAGTGGCCAGCAACTGGAACGCTTGATCGGGCACATGACCTTCGTCTCACTCTGTCGGCGAGAGTCCCTTTCAGTTCTTGGGGACTGTTACACCTTCATCAAGCGCAACTATACACACAGTACGAATCTGTGGAAAAGTGTTCGCAAAGAGCTTTGGCAGTGGGATGGTTTGGCACCTCTTATACGGGTCAATATGAAGCTTGTTTGGGGGGACACCATCTATGCCGTCGACGCTTCGGATTGGGGACTTGGGGTTGTTAGCAGCGCAGTTGAACCAAAGTTTTCGCAGCAACTCGGTCGTTTTGTTGAGAGATGGAGGTTCAAGGAAGATGGATGCAACAACCCTCGCCCTTTTGTACAAGTTGAAGGGGAGCTTGAAGGTGTTCACCGTGCAGTACCAAACCCTGCCCTGAAGTTCAAAGGGGTGCCTTTCACCGCTGTGGACCGACCGTGGCAGGTTGTTGGACGAAAGCGCTGGCAGAGAGAGGAGACGATGCCTGTATACGAGGCCCGGGCCACCCAGTATGCTGTTAGACATATCTTGAGGAATCAAAAGAATTTTGGAAAGAAGTTCATTGTTCTCACGGATAGTATGACAGCTGCTGTTTCTTTTGACAAGGGTCGTGCACAGAGTTTTAGGCTCCGACGGGTCGTTCAGCAGACGGCTGCTTTGTGTTTGGGATCAGGGACTTTGTTCCGCTGCCGATGGGTGCCCAGTGAGTGGAACCCTGCTGACGGGCCAAGCCGGGGAAGTTTTGCCCCACTAGGCCGGTTCACAGATTTTGGGATGATACACAGACAGCTGGGCATTACAGTGACATGGGACAAACCTTCGGAACGAAAGCGCAAAGCACCCAACCTGCAGCACGGACCTGCCAAGAGGGCCAAGCTGTTCGACGCAAATCCAGTGGGGATTGGGGGTATGAACCAAGCCAAACCGAGTCATGCCCCCCTCACTTGGGACATAGAACTCAGCAACATGCCCGCAGCAGAGAAAAGAAAGCAGAGAGCCAAGAGGCGCCAGCAGAAGACGCCAGAGCCGGGGATGGGAGTGCTCCGCAGTTCCTCAGTGGGGCACCTCACCTTGAAAAGATATCAGGAAATGTGGCGAGGCTTCGTGAAGTGGAGTGCAGGCCAGGTGAGACAGACCATGACTTGGACTCAGCTGGACCGGCGCCTCAGCAATTACCTCGAGGGGCTTTACCTCGAGGGGGAAGACCTGAGCCGCGCAAACTAGTGACGGCTGCCGTGATTTTCCATGTGCCTGGGACAAAGGGTCTTGCGGCCCTTCCAAGATCCCAACAAGCAATGAAAGGCCGGCGGAAGCTCTGTCCTCCTCGCAGTCGGATGCCCATTCCCTACGAGGCAGCATGCTTGTTGGCCAACAAGGCATTGAGTTTGGGGCTCCACGAGATCGCATTATTTTGCTCATAACATTTCTCTTGTATTTGAAGCCTGGCGAAGCCTTCTCCCTCAGGCTTCGAGATCTGGTGCTGCCGCTGAAGAAAAGCGGCAAGGCCTTCAAGGACTATGCCATTTTGCTTCACCCCCTAGAGGTAGGAGTGCCCTCCAAGACAAAACAGTGGGACGAGATGCTGACTTTGGATCTGCCCCATTTGAAGTTTTTGGGACCTGCCCTAGAGAGGTGGATGCAAGTGCAACAGAGGGGCAAGGACGAGCTTTTTTTTTGCAACCACTTTACAAGAGACAAACCAGTTTCTGGAAGACCATTGGCGGACCCTGGGGCTTCATCCCCTAGGAGCCCCACACATGTACAGATTGAGGCACGGAGGAGCTTCACACGAGGCAGCCAACCAGTTGAGAGAGATCTCGGGCATCCAGGCTCGGGGTCGATGGTTGATTCAAAAATCCATGAAAAACTACGAGAAAGGGGGCCGCCTGCAGCAGCTGTTCGGAAGCCTCAGCAAGCGCACCCAAAGAGACGCGCTACAGGCCGCCAAAGACGTCGTCAAGCAGCTGTTGAGAAAGCATTGAGCCCCAAGGCATCATTGAAAGTTGCAGTATTTATTGAGATTTTTTGTGGTTGTTGTCGGTTGGGTCGCAGCATTGCACAGCAGACCGCGTGGCCAGTTTTGCTCTGGGACATTGCTTTTGGACCGGAATACGATCTGACCAGGCGGAAGATACAACATTTGATTTTGGGTTGGATCCAGGCTGGACTTGTACGGGCGGGACACTTAGGCACTCCCTGCAATAGCTTCAGCCGCGCAAGAGATCGGCCCGGGGGGCCACCCCGGTTGAGGAGCGATGAACGACCCTTGGGTTACCCAATTTGCGGCCGTCAGACTCCGAAAAGATCCGGGTTGGCAACGCCTTGATGTTTTTTAGCTGTGCAGTGCTCCGGCTCGCTTTACATTGGCAGCTCCCTTTTACCATGGAAAACCCGGCCAGGTCGAGGATCTGGCTCTGTCCCTCTGTGAAATGGCTGTTGAAAAGACGAAACGTGAGTTTTGAGACGGTTCATTACTGCGCTTTTGGAACTCGGTGGAAGAAGCCCACTTCCTTCTTGGGAACTCACTTGGACCTCTCTGTTCTGTCGCGTTTTCAATGTCACAGCAGTCGACGAGGGATCTGTCAGTTCAGCCACAAGCCACATTTGCCCCTGATGGGGCAGAATGACCAAGGTATATGGTACACCAAGCTGGCCGAGCCTTATCCAAATCGGTTGACCAAAGTTGTTGCCGTAGCCTTCAACAACACCGAGCTCTCTCAGCTTGCGATGGCGTTTCAAAGCCATTGGTGAGGTTTTTTCTGTGAGAGGCGGCTACACCAGAGGGCTCCAAGCAAAGTTGGGCAAGTTTAGGTGGAGGCGAGACTTGGTGGAAGGCTGCAGCTTTCAGCATGTTTTCACTAGCGCTTAGATGAGCACTGGCCTGAAGCGAAAAGATGCGACAGAATGCATATATGTGGTTGATGTGTCTCAGGTGTTGTAGTGATACAATGTCAAACAAGCAACCACGTGTCAAATATCCACTGCTCTGAGGTGTCACATGAGTGTGCGGTAGTGGGAAAACCACGGCCTTGACTCCGTTTTCATCATATCCAGCCAAACGCATTAACTACCTAAATCCTGACAAGAACCAGATACTTGGCCCAGCCCCACAATCACGCAAGGAACACGGAATGTTTGTTGGAGGGAGGGTGTCTTTGCACCCTGGATGTCCCCTGTCCTTTTCAGGGCCATATTCGTGCCACTTCTTTGGCTGCGCGTGCTTGGGGACCCCGGGAACGTTGGAATGATGAAAAACAAGAAGAAAGCAAAATGATATAGTATAAATATAGTGTTGGATCTTGATTGGTAAAAGGGATTCCCCCCTCAGCTAAACAAATGAGGGAAGCTTTTAAAATACAGTACCACCAAAACATGTCTGGGTTTCTGGGAGGATTCGTTTTGTAATTGATTGTCGTATTAGTATTTCTTTCTCAGGTTCTTTGATGTTGGATATTCTCAGCAAACCTTTTGTACTACTAAGAAGAGGACAAAAAAGGTTCTCTGCGACTTTGATGAAGAACTAGATAAACCTATATTTATTGATCAATACTCTCAGCAAGCCAGCCATTGGCTCAGTAGTATTGAGAATTGTTATAAGTCTTTATTTCGACAAACAATTTACACAAGTGAACATCGTTAAAACACATTCATTATTGAGGATCAGTGGCAGTGGCCTTTCTGGTCTACTACCTTCTTGGTTTTTTCAGGGCTGTCTTTACATAAAGGATTGATTAAGGAATTGATGGCTTCGGGGAGCTGTCAGTTTTGAAGAAGAACTAGAAAGGCTCAGAACTCTCTGCAAGCTAGCCATTGGCTGAGTAGTATTAAAAACTATTATCTGTTTTTGAGGATGCATTTTGCACAATTGAGGATCCTTAAGCGAATCTATCATTGAGGATTAGGGACCTTCCTGGTCTATTGTTTTGAGCAATTGTTTAGGAACAATCTTTGCATAAAGGGTTAATTAAGGAATTAACTAATAAATAGTTTTTGTAAAACTATTTATGGTGATAATATTTGGAATAGAGTACCCCATTTTGATAAACTACAAATATTAAAGACATATATATATATATATATTGAATATTGCGATTTTTTACTTAATCATATAATAGATATAAAACAATACTTTACTTCGAGTGATCCCCACCATTACATTTCAATCATTTGTCTCTAGTGAGGAGCATGTTGCCATGGCGGTGTGTATTGTAGTTATGATTTTTTGCTTGTGGGTCCTCGGGTTGTGTGCTGTGGTTGTGTGTTGTGGTTGTGGTTTTGTGTTGTGGTTGTGTGCTGTGTTGTGGTTGTGGTTGTGTTTGTGATTGTGTGTTGTGGTTGTGTGCTGTGTTGTGGTTGTGGTTGTGTTTGTGATTGTGTGTTTGTGGCTGTGTGTGCGGTTGTGTTTGTGGATGTGTGTTTGTGATTATGTTTGTGGCTGTGTGTTTGTGGTTGTGTGTTTGTGGTTGTGTGTTTGTGGTTGTGTGTCTATTGGCGTGTCTGTTGTTGTGTGTCTGTTGTTGTGTGTTTGTGGTTGTGTGTTTGTGGTTGTGTGGTTGTGTGTTTGTGGTTGTGTGTTTGTGGTTGTGTGTCTATTGGTGTGTGTCTGTTGTTGTGTGTCTGTTGTTGTGTGTTTGTGGTTGTTTGTTTGTGGTTGTGTGGTTGTGGTTGTGTGTTTGTGGTTGTGTGTTTGTGGTTGCGTTTGCGGTTGTGTTTCTGGTTGTGTGTTTGTCGTTATGTGTTTGTGGGTGTGTGTTTGTGGTTTTGTTTGTGGTTATGTGATTGTGGTTGTGGTTGTGTGCTGTGGCACACTGGGCGTGGATGGTCGTGGTTGAGGTCTGGTAGGGAACATTGGACGTGGATGGTCGTGGTTGAGGTCCGGCAGGGATTATTGGGTGTGGATGATCGTGGTTGAGGTCCGGTAGGGAAC